AAAAGTCACATGACTCACAAGAAGCTTGTTTCCTGCACAGAGAAGTCTGGTAACCAAAATTAAGGGAGATCTGATTCCAGTAGTAGTAACTGTGTTTGTGTTAATTTCACTTTCTTATGCTTTGTTCTTCAAACATGTTGCTGGCTGCCAGGTGTGAGCGTGTGTATTTTTACCCATAAATCCTTGCATCATGGGGGTCATTTTGGACATATTTTTCAACAATGCTCACTTAGAAGGACTAAGACTGTTGTTGGAGTTACTTGGTGCCACTTTACTGCTGTCGCCTTTACACACAGCTGAACCAAACGAAAGAGCAGTGAAGAGCCTCTCACACCTGTGCACATTTTGCACTGTGATCACATTACAAATGTCCACTAGATGCTGCACAACTGTGAGCAACTTGGGAGGAAGTGGTTATTTGTAACCAAGGTCCGCTGGTGGTGGATTTCCCATAAGGTAGAGCATGTGTCCAGTTGATGTACCCTTGTGTGTGTGTGTGCGTGTGGGAGAGAGAGGGGGTTTCATGGGAAAACAAATGTGGTGATTCACTGTGGATAATTATTGCACCAAAGGAAACATATGGTTGTAACCACAGAGGATTGGTAAGTCACATCCTTCAGAGCAAAGCCATATGTGTTAGTATTAAAATCAATACTCATGCTTTCTTTTTGTGTATTAGGTCACTGCCTTTGGTATAATTGGGTTAACAGAGCTCATTAGTTGAAGATAAACTCAATAAAATGATTTCAGAGCTTACGGTTGGAGGATGCAACTTTCCTTTGAACTATTACCAATAGAAATGTTGCATCACATTACCAGAAGCGTTTTGAAATTCAGACACCAGAAGCAACATCAACTGCACTGTTTCCCCATAAACAGTGCAGTTACTGTATCTCACGATATGACTCCACTGCAGAGCAAATCGCAAACAAGCTGATATCAGTTGTACTTCCTTAATGCTTACGCCTATAAGAGCTTTATCAGAAAAGGACAATATTATGATCAACCAGAGCAGACACTCAACACACTAGTTTTTGTGGTTGCATGTTTAATAAGTGTCATTTCCTACATGAGGCGGTGCAAGACTGTTGGTAGATACTTTGTCTAGTTTATAAACCCTAAAATAGGAACACGAGATACACAGAAACCTTTCAGAGTGTCAGTCAAAACAGAATGAACATTGTGTAAAAAAATACAGAGGAGTGAAACAATACAAAAACAAAAAACTCCAGTCATGTGTGATCACACTCAAGGTCATGATCGGTGGGAGTGATGGGTAGAAAGCAGCCAGGCAACACGCCTTCCCCCACCCCACCCTACCCCCGTCACACACAAACTGTCTCACGCACACACACCCTGTCAAGAGCATTAAACACAGATACAAACCACAGCCTTCAACAGTCTCTCACGTGTGCTTTTGCAGCAGCTGCGCCATCCTGAACCTCTGATGTGTTAGACAACATCAAGAAAATCCCCATCAGCATCATACCTAATAACATCCAATTGAATAGAAACACAGTAAGGGACTGTACAAAATTACTGGGGTGGGGAGCAAGGTTAAATTATATACTTCTTTTTTTATGTTGCAAGATCCTCCACAACATTATTAATATTTCATTCCGACCCTACCCTTGACTTTGTTAAAACTGCAACACCTTCCCCCCAGAAACTCAAAATAACACAATACTTTGTGATGATGATCAGAGACAAGGTTGTTGTCATCTGCATATGGCAAATCACTTTCATGAACCATCATTTGTAACTGTTTTATTCCTTCCTCCTTATTCCTCCTTTGTCAATCATGCAATGGAATGCTGAAATATAGGTGTTAAAAAATAAAAACACTTTCAACTCCCCTTATAATCCTCCCCCCTAATAGCTTGTATACAGTCCCCAAGTGGGTTGAAAATTGCACTCACAGAGCAACAATGAGAGACAAAATGTTGGTACAACTTATGCCTGACCATTTGTGTGAATACATTTTATCCTTTTGTGTTGCTTGATGTGCACACACACGCACATTCATACAGCACAACACACCGGGGTGGCTGGGTGTGTGTGGGGGGGTGGGCTTGCAGGGACTTACCATGTTGTCATGAATGTCTGCCCATGAAGAAACTGATAACTTAAACAAGAAGGCCTCCCTCCTCAGGATTTCTCAAACTCAGGGCGGGGTAGTGCGTGTGTGTGTGCGTGCTTTTGTGTACACGCCATCAAGTGTGGTGTGGTCTGCAAAAGAGGCGGGGACAACAAAAGCAGGATGTGATACAGCAGGACTGAACTTCCTCATACAGCCCCAGTGGAATCAGCACAGTGCAGAGAGCGCCACCTCTTGGCGAATGGGCGACACGGTTGTGCGTGCTGGTAAAATTCCATTCCCACAGATAAGGAGCGTACAAGTGCACACAGGCCGCAGTGAAATTATTTGATAAGATCCCAAGAAGCCTTGTAAGTATTTTCGGGAATTCCAGTCTTGTGTGGTTGGAGAAACAAAAGGCAAGGGGCCTCTTGTGTCGACTCCTGAAAGAGGAGATTTTATGTCTTTTTTTTTGTCTCTTACATGTTGCTGGACCCCACCCCTCCCAATACACACACATAGAAGGAACACACAGTTTGAGGTGGGGGACCCCTCACTCCACAAAATCCACTTAACAACAGCCAAATAAGCAAACAAAGAACACCACAAACAAAAACATGAATGTCCAACATTGCACATAGCCGGATACACTGACAGTAAAACTCCTTAAGCCAGCACACTTGTGTTCGGAAAGAAAAGTTAAACATTAACGTTGCTAAAAGCCTCCTGTAAGCTTTGACTTCCATCTGGGGTTTTAAAAGCTGCGGTTTGAAGACTTGAGAGCCAGAAGCTATTATGCGAAGAGACACCATATCAATTTTCCCCCAGGACATCCACCACCATGCCCCCGGCTGCATAAATCTTGAAAGCACATTTTTAATATAAGATTAGGGTGATGTCATACCTTAGGTTACATAATGGCACACTGCTCATCTATTTATATGTCACAAAGGTATTAGTGTCTGAATAATAAGATATAGAATTTGACTGGGTGTACTTTAAATTAGGGTGCTTCTATTAAATGTGCTTCACTGAATAAAATGTAATTTTGATATATATATATATATATATATATATACCTCATTCATACACAAAGGCAGCCAGCTTTCTCAGTGGAGTCTTGCCAAAGGGACATTTGTATCATAGATTACAAACTGGACACCAACGTGTCCATGTTGACAACTATTGGCAAATCCATCAGAAACTTCAGCGTAGATTTGAAGACAATGCATCCTACATAGGCAGATTAATTTAATCAAAACGTCTTTTAGCGTAAAAGCTCTCCTAAGGGACTGTATGAAAATGTTTTTAGGGCGGGGTCAGAAAAAGAGGAGGGGTGTGTATCTTTTCCGTTTGCTCAATGGAGGAGAGTAGAGCTAAAATGAGTTGATTAATTGATTAGTCAATTATACTTTAATTATAATTTCAGTCTTTATGCTGATGCTGTAATACCCGGCGTGAGCGATGAGTGTTGTGTGAGTGAGGGGCATGGCGTGAGCGGTGCTACTGTATGCAGCTGGACGTTATTGGAAAAACGACCGTATAGATCTATTATTAGATTAATATGACCCATATTTAAGTTTTTTGAAAGGCCGTGACCCCTAGTGGTTAGAGAAGCCAGGTGACGTAGTATAAAGAGCGACAAAGTCAATGTAAGGATTGTGGTGGGGTGGATGGGTGTGTCAGGTAAACTCAGGACTTATGTACTTATTTTAACCCAAACCCAAATGGTCTTTTATGATGTTTTGGGACAATGGACAATCTAAAAAAACTATTTTGTTGTTTATTTATGAGGACGTGTTGGAAGGAAACCCACTGAGGAAGTTTTTAAAAAGTGAAAACATAAGCCCCCCATTACAGCCCCCCTCCCCACCTTATTACTTTTCATACAGTCCCTAAACTGTAGTCAGTTTTTGCTGCCATATTCAGTGACATTCAAATGATGTTAAATGAATACATGTGTAACTTTTCTACCACCCAGAGTTTCAATATTTTCATCCACACACGTCGCTCTCAAGTGTGTGATTATATCAAAGTATCTCATTGGCTCTGAGGACATAATAACAACTACCTGCACACTACTCTGTCCACTGTAGTGGTTTTGACGCACGGAAACATTTCTTGTCGTAGATCCACAACCATGAATTATCCTAAACACTCATTCATCTTCTTCTGTCAAAACATATAATTGCGCAACAGCTGAAAGGCTTGCCTCATCTTGTTGTGAATTCCACTCTTGAATTCTTGTCTGGAGGCCGTATGGCTGTTTGTATGCAATGACTGCGTGTTTCTGCATGCCGAATCCAAACATCTAACTGTGTAGCTCCCGCAAATCCTCCATCAGTATCACAATCATCCAGAAAAAAAGTGAAGTATAGCCATAATCACACAGATTAATCCATGAACACTCTTGAGATTATCTATTTATTGTATACTTTAATCCCTAGGATAGTAGGTTACACCCTCGCCTCTTCCTATGCTTTGATACAGACATTAATCCATCTTTGTTGTTACTGTCAGCACAAAGAAAAGAGTTGTGAAAATACACAGAAGTCCAGCCTGGTTTCTGAATTGGAAACAACCTGAAAAGCCAAATGCACACATAAATCCTTACATAAAGAGCTAATCCAACTGTACATTTTAGACAAATTGCAGAGCACAGCAGCAATTTGTCTATTATATTAGTGGTGATACAATGCAACAGATTTAACACACCACAAAGTACCACAGTGCAGGGACAAGGACAAGATTCAGCATGACACTCCTTTACTCAGGCTCATATTTGAAACTTTGCATTAATCACCATTCCTTAAAATTATCAAAATAACTTTTAGAAAAACAAAAATGTAATAAGAAAAAGTGTTATACATGTAAAAGTCTGTGCTCAGCTTCAAGTACATGTACTTGTGACTACCTCAAACCCCTACTGATCACACTGAGCGTCTAATTCTGTGAGGCTACACCACCATCTAGAGGTGAATTCAGGCAATGTCCCGTTTTGAAGACAGATTCAACATGGCTGCTCCCTTGTCGACGTTTTTAGGATTACTGTCTGTAGCTGCAAACCATGAGGAAGTTCAGGTAAACCAACACAAAGACAAAGAAATTAATATTTTAATATGTTGAATGCTGCTAACTGACAAGTAGCAAATCAGGAAAACAACACAGTCACTATCAAGGGCTTGTGCATTAAGTTACACATCTTTATTGGTATTTTTCTTAGGTCTGATAGTTAGGTGTTAATTTACTGTTAAATTACCTTCCATCTTTCTTTGCAGCCACCATGGATGTAAAAGAAATAGTCCACTGTGCTCTGCAGATAGAGAAATGCTGTGCAGACAGAAGCTATGGGAACATCTTGACCCTCCTCAGTGACCTTGATAAGTTGCACGTCACAGCAGAGCAGCTAGAAGCGACGGACGTTGTTAAAGTTCTTTACAGGCTCCTGAAGACCTGCTCTGATGACGGCGTGAAGAAAACCGCAAAGAGCTTGTTGTCCAAGTGGAAGAGACAGTACAGCAAAGATACACAGGGTGTGAAATGCACAGAGGAAAGCAAGGATCCTAAGCTGAGTTGGGTCTCTGTACCAGACAAGGCTGGGGATGGAGGAGTATCCAGGCAGGGGGATTCCCACTCTGGTTCAGCACAGACATGTGACAGTAAGGTGAAGTGTGTGAAGTGTGCAGATGAAGAAGCATCCTCCTCATGTGCAAAAGATGAGCTCCAGACTTTGTCTGTCACTGCAGAGAGCGCCTCTGCATCCTGTAGTTTCTCATCTGTAAGATCCAAATGTGTTCAGCTCCTTCTTACTGCTCTCATCCCTGAACTTTCTGATAAAGACAAGGCTGCAGAGCTGGCAAGAGACATTGAGGAGCAAATCCATGAGCTCCACAAGTCCAGCCAGGTCAAATTCAAAGCCTGTGTGAGGAGCAAGGTGGCCAACTTGAGGAATCCTAAAAACAAACATCTTCGTCAGGGCCTCCTGAGCGGCTTGCTGTCACCTGAGGCCTTTGCACGGATGTCAGCAGAGGAGATGGCCAGCGCAGAGCTCCGGCAGCTGAGGAAGGAGTACTCATCTCGTGGTGTGAGCGAGAGGCAGCTTCCTGAAGGGGTAGAAGGGACCCAGACGCAGAAGATCCGCTGCAAGAGATGTGGGGGATCAGACTGTAGGGTGACTCAGGTGTCCAGGGGGGCCCTTTTCTTGCCTGCGTGGGTGAGGCAGGGCGGCCCTGATGAGGACGCATTGACTTTTGTGACCTGCAGCACTTGCGGGCAGCAATGGTACCACAGCGGCTGGGTTTGCCTCTAAATTCGGTTTATCGCTCGGTCTAAAAAATGCCAATAAAATGGTGAAAAAAGCACTCACGTTTACAAATCCATATTGCTTTTATAGCTAAAACTGTTAGTCGATTAATCAATCTGCAATATTTTTGATAATAAATTAATCGTTTAAGTAATTTTCCAAGCAAAAATTACAAATATTGACTTGTTCCAGCTTCTCATATTAGAATATTTGTTTGTTTTCTTTCTTTTTTGATACAAAACAGAATCAGTTTGGATTTCGGACTGCCAGTCGGACAAAACAAGACATGTAAAGGCGTCAAATTGCATTCTGGGAAACTGTCAGGAGCAGTTTTTTGCATTTAAGTGACCAAACATGTGAATGTTTAATTGAGGAAATTATCAACAGATTAATCAGTAATTAAAATATTTGAAGGCAGTCTGACTTTTTATTTTTGTTTTCTGATGCCAGATTTATAATAGAAGGATTAAATTGTTACAAATGATGGATTGGATTAGAGGGTCATTTGTCGTATTTTCTCGATTAATTGATTAATCATTTGGTCTATAAAATGTCAAAAATGGTAGAAAAAAATGCCAATCACAATTTCCCAGTGCCCAAGTTGACATATTCATATTGCTTGGTGTGTTCCAGCAACTGTCCATATCCCATGAATAAATAATAAAACGGTTTACTGTCATAGAATACAACAATAAACCAACAAATATTCACTTTTAAGCTGAAGCCTGTCAATTTTTGGCATTTTGGCCTAATAAAATTCCAAAATGCCGGTGGAGTAAAAATCATTTTAGCTCCACTGATGTTGTGCTGTTTTGTGTCGCGTATTTTCTATAACACTGAAACAGGAGTAATGTTGAGAGGAATGCAGAGTAGAAACAAAGGGCAGAGCGTTCTGACAGGATGGACAACGTACTTGTGATTTAACCAAGAAAGGTTTGAGGATGTATCTAGCATGCTATGCTTAAAGTGCAGTACTGTGTGACTGCCTACTGAAAAGCTGAAACGCTGCCTATTGCAGTCGGATACTGAAACCACAACTTTTACAGAAGTAGCTCTCGTCATCTTCTTCCCACTGAATCATTTCCTGTCCAGTTCATCTATACTTACAGTGACTCAATTAACTGCTTTTCCTGGTGTCGTTTTCTGCCCTTACACCTGGCTCCTCTTTCTTATATGAACATTTTCCACTCAGAGGAACAACGTAAAACCACTGACATCATTAACTTTGCCCTCAGTAATCATCATTTTGATATTATAGAAGAAAGTGTTTCCGTTCCACTTATTGTATGTCATACTTGATATGAACACTTAAATTAGAAGACAAAAAAGAAGAAGAGAACATGCCCCTAGCCACCTATGATATCCCAGTCATTTGAAGCAATCTAGTTCAAGTGGATGAGACATGTGATCTTAGAAAACAGTGAGCATGTGAGTCAGTAATCTGCCCTCCTGAGCAGCCTCAGGCGTGGATATCCCATGATCCTTCACTCAGTCGATGTGGCAGAAAGATTCATTTACACATCAGCGTGACATCATATTGGTGGGCGTTAACTATACAGGCCAAAGTTTAAATCAGTGATTTTTACTATCAGTTGGAGATAATTCAGGAGAAAGTAGTCTTCTAAAGGCTAGTTGTAATCTTGTGACTGTGTGAAACCAAAATATGTGCAGTGTACTGTAAGATGTGAGTTCTGCTTTTATGACGCATTTATGTGGGTCCTCATTTTTTAATGAAACCTTTCGAGTGAGACGTGCATTTCATTGTTTCACATGACAGGATTTTACCTTTTATTTCACCATCATGCAAAAAAAGCTGCTTGAAGTGGACATATTTGATTCTCTTTTTTTCATGTTCCTCCTGTGCTAATTTTGTTTAGTGAGAACATTTCCTGGTTCAACACAACCTTCTGTTCTAGTTTTAAAAGGGCAAATCGAGGATATCCAAAGATGAAATCCCCTGTAATGGAAGTCCCCCTCTCCTGGTTGTTAATGGTTGAGCTGTGATATCTTGTCAGTCATATACAGTAAGAGTGTGGCTGCTTGGTATCTCAGCACCGTGGCTATTCTCTGTGTTGTGTCTCCTTTTACATGTTCCCTATCTTATGAGTGTTGTGTTCCACTCTTCCAGTCATGGTTGCCTGGCAAATCAGTGCTCTGCAGCCATTTGTCTTTTCTCTCTCTCACATACACACAGATACAAACAGACACACTGCAGACAGAGATTTGGGAAGTTGGAGTTAATTTGGGCTCTTTAGGTAAATCTTAAATGACTTTTAAACCTGCAGAAATGCATAAATTCAGATAATCTTTGCTCATTTATGCAGTGACAGTGCACAAGGAATATTGTAATATACAGGAGGTTACATTTCTAGGTTGCAGCAGGCTGTCAGGTCCTTTAAAATGGTTTCTAACATTTTTGACCTGCTTTTGACTCCTTAGAAACACATTGTGTGCATTTGTGTGAGCCATATGTTTGGAGGGTCCCAAACCCATGTTAGGAAATATTTTCAATTTTTATAGATGGGCGTTTTTAAACGTGTGCTTACTTGGTCTCTCATAAACAATAGGAGAGACAAACAGAGTAGGCAAGTGTTTCCAAAAAGATGGACAATGCACTTTAAAATACGCGCTGACCGCATCGCAGAAAGCGCATGATGAGAGGAGGCGTCAGTCGGGTCATGTGAGCGTCATCAGCGGCTCTGGGGCCGGAGAGCAGTGGGGACTCCTCAGTGCCATGTCACCGGCTGGCAGCAGCACCCTGTTGGGGTGGATGAGGGGGTTTTAACCGCAGCAGCCGGGCAGTGACCGCAACACAGACAGGTACGGTTAGTGAGATGGCAAAAATGTAATTTCAGCTGCACAAATTCTCACTTTCTGTCGTTTTAACCGTTCAGTAAAGTCGTGAGTGTTTAACTGTTAGCGCGCCCATTATCGGACAGCTATAGTTTATGGGAATGCTTCCATTATTATTGCCTATTGACGGAGACTAAACACAAGTAACCAGCATTCGGTATTCAGCCATGTTAATGAAAGTGCAAGCTAGTTTTGAGTCATAAACGCATCTGTAACGTTATATAAGTTAATGTATGCTAGCTAGGTAACTGAAATCGATCAGGCGAGTCTCCTGGTTTTGCTTGAGTAACTTGAGTCACGGTTAACTATTTATATTTTCTAGTGTGTTGTGTCACCATCACTGTCATGCTCGTCCTTAAAGCTTTACATTTTTAATAAAAGTGGTGAAAGACACTAAAGTGGTTGGTAAAGAAGAATAAGTGGTAAAAACATGGAAAATGGCAAAATTGGACTAATGACTGTTTACTAGCTAGAAAGAAGTTTCCAATTTAACTGAACTGTAAAAGGCTGTTTTCGACTGTTATCGTGACAACTGTTGTTTCCATGTTGGCGGTGCTATAAATCTCATTTATTGATAAGGAATATTGGCTCACACAGCTCAGTTGGTGTGTCTCTGAAAGGGCAAATTATTAGCTTATTGGCTTTTAAACGTTAATGGACAAATTATATTTTGTAGGTTTATATTAAATGTGGTTGTTGAAAAAAATATAAATTATTTTACGGGAAATAACCATAGACTGTATATAAAAAGGAAATAACCCAAAGAGCAGCCTTGGCCTTAAATAGTAGCATTCTGCTGAATGAAGCACATGACTTTTGTGTGTGTGTGTGTGTGTGTGTGGCCATTCATTGCTGCTTTTTTTTTTTTTTTTAAAGTTACTTTCTCCAGAAGAAATGACAGGAGCAGCAGTACAGTCTGTGTTTAAAGGTCCCAGGACAAAGACATCATTTAAAGTAGAATAACGTTTCCTAACTAGCAGTGGGTTTGGCCAGTTGTGTCCTAATTGGCTGCAGACTGCATGCACAGTGACAATAGTAGTACTGTATATTGTTTTTGTAACATAGATACATAATCCTGAAGTTAGGGAAGTAAGACTATGGAATGATATCTTAAACTTTCGGTCTTAATGTTGAATATTGATTTATTTAAACATTTCCAGCTTTACTCAACATCTTTATAGTAATTAGTTTGAATGTAACCAAGAAAAGCTTCAGGCATTACTAAGGCATTCATGGAATTTTTAATTTAAAAGTTACTAGACCTTACAACTAGAACTGCATGGATTAGTTGATTAATCAATTGACAGAAAAATAATCTATGAAACTATTTTGATTGTTGATTAATTGTCTTAGTTATTTCTCATGAACAAAATGCCAAATGTACACCGCTTCCAGATTCTCAAATGTGATGATTTCACGCATTTCTTTGTCATACATGATAGTAAACAGAATATTTTTAGGTTTTGTACTGTTGGTTGAATAAAACAAGACATTTTTAAACCTCAGCTTGAACTGTGGGAAATTGTAACGCAAATTTTTCAATATGTCTGACATTTTATAGACTAAACCATTAACCAAGAACATAATGTAGTGCATCTACTGCAAAAGGAATAAACCACAAATGTTTTACAGCCGTGTTTTATACATTGACGTACATATTTGGTGGTATTCCTTTAAGGCAGTTTGTCTGCACACTGCTGTAAACTTGGGCATAGACGCATAACATTATTATCAAAGTTTCATTCAAAACCAGTAGTTGTTATCCAGATACTGCATGTGCCCAAACACTCTTGTTGTGGTGACAGCCAGTGACAGATGAGGTGATCTTGGTCATTTAACAAAGCTACTCCTCGTTTCCCATTTAAACCTCGCTCTAGGGAAGACTTTACTACTTTTTTTTTGTTCTGCTTTGTGGGTGGAATGCCTGCCATTTAGCTTAACACTGGCATGTTAAGTATGCAAGTGTGGTACGTGATTACATTTGTGCTCAAATCCTCACTTTTCTTTGCAGCTAAGTCTGTGAGTGGGTGAACTGCTTTGGCCACTTTATGATCTGCAAAGTTTAATTCTCTCTCTCTCTCTCTCTCTCTCCTACAGATTGTTGACAAAATGCTGATATAACGGTGAGGAACCTGTTTAAAATCTTCTTTCTGTTGACCATGTCGAGTTGCATCCCTCATGGACGACTCCCTGGTGATTGGTGGCCACGTGATGTAGAGCACCGATCATTTCATGCACAGCACGTTACACACAGTGTAGGAAGTTAATTAGTTGCAAAGTCTAGTGAGTGAGCTGTGGCTTTTTAATAGGATTAGCTAGTCGACTGACTTTAATTAGCTCCCCTCACTGTCGAGTGTGAGGGAACGTGTAGTATTATATGCGGTATGAGCTGCCTAGAGGAAGTGTGTGATGAAGTGAAAGTTGATTGAGAGCAGTTTGTTCTTATCTCAAGCTCGACCACGTCTGCGACGCCAAAGGTACAAAGCAATTCCTGAAGGAATACCGACACACCCAATCCTTCAGGCCAAGTTATTTTATTATGTTGGCTCACAGTATTTTCATATTGTATGATAAAGACCCGTATCCATTCGAAACCATTTGCAAGTAAAATCAGTTATTACGTCTGCTTAACTTCAGTAGCTGTGTCCAAAGTTCAGTTCAATTTTATTTATATTGCTCCACTTCATAACAGATGTGATCTCATTGCACTTTTCATAGAGCAGGTCTAGATTGTACTCTTTGTAATATCATTTGAGTCCCACCATGAGCAAGCACTTAGCGACAATGGCAAGAAGAAAAAAAAATCCTTTTAGGAGAGGTCCTCACACAGTACATACTCATACTCATGAAAGGCATTAGTATGCAAACAAAATATATTGTAACTGCACTATTATAACTTTACTGTTCGTTATTGCCAAATACTTGACTCAGTCAGAAAGTTCTTCATTAATTTTGTTGTGCTATTCTATTATCTTGAGTAGATTTGTTTATGTAACTAGAGCAGGGCTGCAACCAAAGATTAATGTCATTATCAGTAATCTGCTGATAATCTTTTCTATTGATCCATAAAAGGTCTGAAACCTTATAATGTAATTTTGCACATCCCGAGGTGATGTTTTCATATAGCTTGTTTTATTTAAATTTAAGAATCCAGGATATTGGTTTGGCTTACAACTATTTTGATAACGAATGAATACATTTAGTAATTTTTCAAGTGGAACCCCCCCCCCCCCCCCCCCCACTCATTACAGCTTTTTGAAAGTGATTATTTGCTGCTTTTCTCTGTTTTTTTCATTGTAACATGTTTATATTTTAGTTATGGACTGTTGGTCAGACAAAATAAACAATCTGTAGACAGCTGTACTGTTGTATTGCGCTCTTGCTTTTTAAGCTGAGCTTTTTTGTGCTCCTCAGGTGAAACTACTTTCTCTATTGCTGGTGTCTCCAAACGTCCCGTGCTCCAAAGTTGGCCTGACCCGGCTCCCTGCAGCTATGATGTCCCAGTCAACTCTGCTGAAGGTGATCCTTCTGGGTGACGGCGGCGTGGGTAAATCATCTCTCATGAACCGCTACGTCACCAACAAGTTTGACTCGCACCTCTTCCACACCATCGGCGTGGAGTTTCTCAACAAGGAGCTGGAGGTGGACGGCCACCACGTCACCCTGCAGATCTGGGACACGGCGGGCCAGGAGCGCTTCCGCAGCCTCCGCACGCCTTTCTACCGCGGCTCTGACTGCTGCCTGCTCACTTTCAGCATGGACGACGGACAGAGCTTCCACAATCTGGCCAATTGGAAGAAGGAGTTCACTTATTACGCTGACGTGAAGGACCCTGACAACTTCCCCTTTGTGGTGCTGGGCAACAAACTGGATGTGCCTGAGCGGCAAGTGTCAGGGGAGGATGTACGGAAGTGGTGCCGCGAGAATGGCGGCCACCCGTACTTTGAGACAAGCGCCAAGGAAGCTATAAATGTAGCGTCTGCCTTTGAGGAGGCGGTGCGTCGCATCCTGGCGTTGGATGACAAAGTTGATCACCTCATCCACACCAACACAGTGGACTTGCAGAGGAAGAGCCCCCCTGACCCCACCTGCTGCTGAGCTGAGTGCTCAGTGTGAACCTCCGCATGTGATGCTTCTGCAGTTGCCACATACTGTATGGGCTTGAGTGTGATTTGTAACAGAGGAAATGGTGTAATGATGCATTCAGCTAAAGTTTGACAAGGATCAGTATTTGCCATCAAATGCTGATACTTTTAAGACCAAAACTGACAATATAAACAATAAGTTTTTTTTCATCACACAAGGGACACAGAACTCTCCACCTGCCATTTCCCAACCCTTATCATGATTGCAGTTGGTCCTTTAGAGGGATATTATTATTATTTTATACAAAGCATTGTAAATTAATAAAATGACATTTCTGATACTGTATATCTTATTAGCCTTAATAGTTATAGATTTGTTTGAGGTCCAATGCCTTTGGGGTTATGTCATCAAATGGATTTCTTTGATAAAAGCTAAACTACGTCAGCTCTAAAGTAGTAACATGTCTCTAAAGGTCAAAAAACTGTTTTCACATTACTGACGCAGCTGTGGCTAGAAGTTGAAGCCCACAAAAAGAGAAGTCCTGAGATTGTTTTATGCCTCTAGAAGCAGATGCAGCAGAAACTATATAACCACGGTTACAGCTAAAATATTGTGACTTAACATGTGACTGTCCTTAAACACTCCAGTAACCCACAACTTCAACGTTAGAAATACAGGATTGGAATGTGCTAACACTCCTAATTTATCTTCCTTTTTTAATAAACAAACTAGCATTTGGAAACAACTAAATCTAAGTTATAAGTGATGTTAAAAGGTTTATATTTCACTATAGATTCATATTTGCAGTTATTATAGGTTTAAAAACACAAAATTAAATTTTCCATCAATAACTCAACCTCTTGACATACAGCATAAATGAAGGTGCTTAAAAATGTATGTGGTTAAACTAATTACAGGAACCTCTGTCTTTCTGTGGTGCAGATTTTATAGGGTTAATCATGTGATCAACTAGATTTATTAGTTAAAAATGTTGATTTTAAAATTGGTAATACCGGTGATGCCATGATGTAATATAGTGTTTCTCTAAGGAAGAAAATGAGCAACTCAAAGTTGTTTTTATGTAACTAGATAGCTGTTGAACTTGCTGAAGTTGTTTATTTTTGGCATTTAAATGAAAGTGGAGCACACTGCTGAACCTGAAATTGAAGATTTGAATAACTAATTACTCTGTGGCCTGTATGATCTTCATTAGCACTGCCTTCCTATAAGGCAAATGACTTGCACCATTTTTTACACTGGAAATAAAACAACTGCCAACAATGAAACTGGATAAAAATGTGTCCTTTGTGTTAGTCACATTTTTTTTTATTTGAAACACAGCACCCTCTTTGTCCACTAGATGGCGCCCACATATCAAAAGTCAAAGAAATTAACCAGTTTGTGGCTTCACAGTAACAGTGGTTATCTGTTCTATCCATCTAAAATATAATTTCTGTACACAGAGACAGCTGCTTTTACTTATTGGCCAGGTTGAAGTTGGGCAGATCTTTTCTGGGAATAATGTCGGCTCATCAAATCAAAAGTTGAATAAAAAGTATACTGTGTTTCTACAGAAGGAGCAAAATTGATTGGAGAATGAGGGAGCTGTCAATCAAATACAGTCTGCCCACACATTTGTGATGAGGTAGAAAGTGAAATCACCTGTGTGGGTGTACAGTACAATGGGTTTTCAAACGTCCTCAGAGAAGTTCAGTCTGCAACTGTGAGTACTCAGTAGTTTCACAAATATTAAGACCACATCTTGATTATTTATGTCAAACATCCTGTAGAACTTCTAGTGACTTTTTGAGAAACCAACATCCATTTCCTTGGAAGTGAGTTGACTAATTTGTCTATTAAAAGTTTGCTCCATTGTGTCGACACAGGTGGCATCTAATTAAGACCATTAGCATCAGCTATTGCAAAAGTTGCCTCTTGATTACAGAAGACAAAGGGTGCCAAACTTCCAAACTAGGGTTACAATAAAAATGTGCTTATATAAGAAATAAGTTTTGCGAGCTTAATAATAAGTTGATTTATACATTTTTTAGGTAACTATTTACCAAGCAAGTAGAGCTGAAAAGATTATGTGGTTTCCAAAAAGTCAGTCAACAGACAATGTATCGGCTAATATTTGATTAAATATTTCACGCAACTTCTTGCATTTAAAAAACTGCTGCTTTTCCCTGTCTTACATTATAGTAATTTGTAAAATCTGGGTTTTTTTGATGTTTCAATAGGTATTTTTCACTATTATATGATGTTTTAGAAACCTTAAATAGATAATTCAAGGAAATCCCTAGTTAGTTCTACAGCAATACATTGTATATTATAGCTTTGATTTGAATTATTGGAGTGTTAGCATAAAAAGGAAAAACCAAAGTTCAAATCACTTCAGAGACCCAAACACAAGAACGAGACAGGAAACAACGGTGTCACGATAATAAAAAATATCGGTTTTACTAGAGAAGGTTACAAAAATCATCACTATATAGGAGTCATAGAACTATTTCCAACTTAAAAAATAAAACCATAATGAAACACCTACAGGGACTACAATGCCATCAAAGTACAATGGAGTTTTCTTTAGAAAAGAGTGGATGGAAGGGGGGTGGTGGAGGAGGGGGGCAAACACCGCCTACCATAGTTGTCAGTACAATTGACTACACATCACCTGAAAAACTGCAAAGACACAGTCATGTCTCCTTCATGCAAATAACGAGGAAACAACAACACCCTGACACGCATTGTCTTATAGGAAATTGAAGTTTGCCTTTACATCAACCTGCTGGCAAAGCACGTATATTTATCAAACATAACACACATGGCAATATAGTCCTTTTTTATACAGAATAGACAGCTGCACACATGGACAATACTGACATGCTTCATCTCATCAAGTTAAAAAATGTGTCTTCTTCAGTGTTTTTTTTTTTAGGGTAAACTAACCAGTGATGATCAATATAGAATATAGTTCATGATACTTAAACAATACCTGATTATAAAATTAATGTATGAAAATTCCTGACTTGTGTTTATCCAGAGTGTAAACATCCAAAACAGTCTCTGTGGCTCATATGAGAGGCATGATGTTAAAAAGAAAATAAAAGAAAAAGTGACTTTTTCTTCTCAACTCACAAGTTGATGAGTCACTCATTTGGCTGGTCATCGAGGAAAAAAAAGCACAAACAAATTCCATAAAATCATTATTACTGAATCACAAGAAGAGCTCAGTTGCCTAAAACTGATAAAACATTAAAAGTCCATCCATTTCCATATTTATTTTCACATTTTGAAATGTATACATCACAAGCACCTCAATCCATCATATCATATCATGACTGCACTGTATCCCTCTCACGACATATCATTTAAGATGTTACATTACAATTATTATATCAAATGCAGAACTAGTATTTGAGTGCTAAACACATATCTCAAAGGGTACATTTACATATTTGTGGAAAAAAATAATATAAGAGCATGGCGAAACACTGATTGTGTTCTCCCCGTTTTGGGAGAGGTGTAATTCGAAATCTTTTAGGGTGATTCAGCTATTTACAGGTGAACTTCATCGGCAAAAGGAGGACTTTTAGCAAATGACAGAACTGTTTTTTACTGTATAATTCATACAGGACAGCGTACCAATCTGGTAAGGATTAGTGTTCAGATGGTGAAGCTTTGGAAAAGAACACAACTGGCTAAAATCAGATTTGGTTTGATACCTGAGGTGTGTCTTCTTGAAGTTAAAAGACCGTGACAGATTTATCTTTTATTTCTGCTGCCGCTGGTGATGAGTGTAACAAAAACCATAAAGGTCTTAATAGAAATAGTTTGACATATTGGGAAATGTACTTATTCAAGTTAGATGAGAAGATTGTTACCAGTCATGTTCGTGCGGTAAACATCAAGCTAACACAGCTGGTTAGCTTAGCTTAGCTTAAACACTGGAAACAGCTAGCCTGGCTTTGCCTGCAAAGCTCATTATTTAATACAATATATCTTATGTGTTTAATTTACACAAAAACCAAAGTGTAAAAACAACAAGGTGTAGTTTGACATGGGGGTTATCGTTAATGGAGCCTTTATAAAGAAGCGGCGCAAAGAAAGGTGTGGCTGATAACCCCTCATAAAACAGCAAATTTTTGTTTTGACACATCAGTTTTTGTGTGAATTAAACAAACAAGACATAAAATGTTAATTGGTGAGTTTAGATGTGGTAATAGGCAGATTTCATTACATATAAACAGAGCAAGGCCAGTTTCCCCCTGTTTCCAGTCTTTATGCTAACCTAAGCTAGCCTGCTGCTGGCATTAGCTTATCTATATTTATCTTAATCTCCTCATTTAACCCTTGACAAGAAAGCAAATAAGCGTATTTCCCAAAACTATTCCTTTAATAAAAGTTTGCTACACCTCTGGTCTTAAATGAACAGTTAATTACTCTGCAGATAAATAAACTTTCATCATGTAAATGCACAATAATCCTTGAGATACCACATGATGACTTTTAGGTATTTCTGTGAGAGAGGGTTGGCTGGGGTGCTTTGTGTTTTTAAGGGATTTTCATTCTCCCTTATTTTTTTGTTTTGTAATAGTGCAACAACTTATTGAGCATTAGCAATAAAAAGTTTAAAATGGAGAAAAAGTAAAGGAGAAAAAACCTATGAGCGCAAAAACTTTAAGAAGAAATCAATAATCATAATAATACCTGGCATACTTTTCAGAGTATTAAAAAAAAACACAACATTCGTACAAATTCGCACAATATATTCATATATATATGCATATAAAACACCAAAAACGAAGGAAGTTGGTCGCTGCCTGGCTTCCCTGTGGCTGAAGCAGACGTGAACAATGTTTTTTTAGGCTGTTAGGAGCTGTGTGTCGATAGGCTGTGCTGGCTCAGGGCGCGAGGCCATCACAGCCGGGCCATGTTCACATGAGCCGCCGGCCAATAGCACGGGGCAGGAGACGCTTCTGAACTGATCTACCAACCTGAGCTCCACCCACAGCGGACGAGCTCTCCCGATCTGAAGCAACTGCCTCCGTCTGGGCCTGTCGCTTCTCCTGATCTTCTATTCTCTTCCCTTCTGGTGGGAGCCCACAACTCAAACATCATGGAAGGGAAGAGGATGGAGAATCAGGAGGTTGGGGGACTATCAAACATGACCGAGGTGGTTTGTTTTAACGGAGAGAAGGACGGGTGCTGGGTGTTGCAGGGTGGGGGGTTGAGGTGTGGAGAGGAGATGGGTGTTGGCGGGAGTGGATCGCTTGTCCTTATGAGTAAGAGGAGGAGTTCTGGCCCTCCTTGGAACGTGCCTCGGCCTCCAGGTCCTGGTCATCCTTGGTCTTGATGTCCTGGTACTCGTGCGTGGAGACAGCACTCTTCAGGTAGGCCCAGTTGGCCGACAAAATCATCAGGTAGTGGATCTGAAGAGAAAGCAAGATGTTTTCTTCATTTTAATGCAGTGGATGACTCGTGTCCCAATTCGATACTACATATCAATATAATGCAGTATGTTGTATATACTAATTGTCACAGTATGCCGTTGCAGTTTTTATAGAAGAAATCAACAGACTCAACTGTTTTTCTTACAGAAAATTGCAATACAAGCATAATGTACCCCATTCAAACTACTGTTATGTCCCAGTTCCATACTATGTACTAATTTTAAGCTGGTTTGAAGTATGTGGTGTGTTCACCCTGGAAAAGGGACTAAATGTATTCTCAAAACAGAATCCATGATGCTTTATTTTCTTTGTGCTTTTGATGGAAACTATACTCCCACAATGGAATGCACAAAGCTGCTAACAGATGGAAAAAATTAGAACCAATGGTGGATGGTGTTCAAACAACTCCACAGATACTTCCAGGAACATTAAATAACTATGGAATTTTTGGAAAATTGCTTTCTCTTTGAAGTTCAATTGGAGTGACTTTCCAACGTTGCAGTTTGATTGAGGTCTGCACATATTATATAATTTCCTACTAGTATAAAACAATAAAGTGTGTTGATTCTTTGTACACTAACTGCAATAACAGTTTACTATAATGATTAGCATATAGTACATACAGTTACAGAAGGCAACTTTTTATTACAAAAAAGTTATACTTTTCTATGATCTTCCTTTATTCATTGACTTGTGGGACGAGTGTTTTTAGTGTACTTAATACTGACCTTTTTGAGTATACTTAATTTAGTCACCGTGACTCATGCTTCCAGGTGATTCCACTAATTATCTGTTAATGAAATCACCTGGTAGTCTTCGTTTGGGATGAAAACCTGGGTTGAATTCAGCAATGCTCAAATTTAACAAAATAATTGTTGAATAAAATAGGTTGTCTAATGGCACAAAACTGCCTTTTTGACTAATTGACTCAATCACAGCCAAAATAGAAGAGGTGATTTCACAAAGTTATAGTCCTACTGAAATCAGGGTAACAATATGGGTACAGTTAGCAATGCTCAAATGTAGCAAAATAGTTGTTAAATATAAAGCATATGAGAAAACCACAACAATCAGTTTAAATACACATTTAATGGTGCTAAATATTTTCATTGAAATGCTTGGGGCAAATATAGCAATGGTCAAATGATCCAATTTGACAAAATGACAAGTTTATTCACCGTTATGAACAAAAATGACAAAACAAATCTCTTTTTCTTCTCCTAAATAAGTTAGCTGGAAAACATCACAGTGTAGTGGGCTGCCAGGTGACCCAACACAACATCTGGAGTGGTGTTTGAAGCTTTTTTTAGTATCTCCATTTCCCTGGACATGATACAAAACAGTCCGCCTCTGCAGCAGAGTAAAACACTGACCCCGTCTACACACACTCACACAGCAGAGGCAGGCTGGATTTCAGCCCATAGGATGACATACTGACAAACGTGAGAGGCGGGGTTGCTATGGAAACAGATAAGCACACCATGGCAACGTGCATATTTTGAGAAGCACATTATCGGTGGGATCATGAGCAGCTTACCAATGCGATGACAGTGGCACCAGCGCCGGCAAACGCAACGATGTAGAGGTGGTAGGACAGGTAGAACTGTGGAGGAGAAAACGAAAATTAGTGAGGGAGGGGAAGATAAAACAGAAAAGAAAAGAAAAGGTCAGTGTCCTCTCACCTCGCTGGTGTTACAGATATCTCCCAGTGTGGACCCACAAGCTTTTCCCGGTGTGGCGTTCCAGGGAATAATACCTACAGGATCAGAGAGATGAAACATCACAGGATGGCCGCTTTCTCATCTGAGACAAGAAGCTTTTTCCTCCCCCGAGACTATGATTGAAGGCATTATGAATTAGGCTCGGATAAAGATTAAAGGAAACAGGGCTGCTGCTGTCCAGGCCTGTGAGCCTCTACTACAGGAAAAGTATGAGTCAATTTCGATTTACTTCTTTGCAGTGATGATGAACATTTTTGGTTAGCATAGACTTATTATAGGCTATATTTGTTCTTTTCTTTTTATTCTTATCATTAATATTGTCATTATTGCATATTGCATAAACCTATCTAAACCGTTCACTCATCAACTGTATTAAAATAATTTGATGACTGCTAGTAACTGGTGTTAATATTTCATACAGTATAGTACACTGCCAATGAAGCATATGCGATCCTGATCCTACTTTGTAAGCGGGCCAGCTGTCCTTCAAATGTGGGTCACATACTGTACATTAGGCTATCAAACAGATAACCAGATATGCAATTACAGGAGAGCATTACCGTGCTGTAATACTTCAGGAAGGTGGATTTTCATAGAGATCCAATCAGGCTCTCAATAACCCAAATGTATATATGTTTGACCCCTTCCTGTTTAGAAAATTATATTTAAAGCAAACCTGAGATAGTGATAAATATCTTTTAAGAATTTATAGGGACAGAGGGCAGAGAAAAGCCTTTTGAATCATACTGTAATATAAGTGTATAATGGGTGTATTTATAATGTGCTCAGTTCAATACACTCAGCGTTTTTTCTGCTACAGCCTTTCTGGTACAAGCACTATGGTGGCTAATGTTAGTTAACTTGAGAGTAGCTTATGTTAGCTTATGGCTAATGTTGGGTAACTTTACATGGATATAATCATTAGCTTATGGCTAATGTCAGCTAACTTTTGAGAGACATGGCACGTAGGATGCCTAAAGATGGCTGTAGTTTGTAAAATGTGGGCTTCTTTCTATATTTTGCTTTCCTGCAGTAAAACCTGGGTTACATGTGACAAGCACCAGGAAGTTTTTTTATGTGCGAAGTCTAAAGCTTTTATTGCCGAGGCTAGCCTTCATGTTTGAGCTGATTTGCCGTGATCAGGGGAATTTCTCTTAAACTTTGAAGACATGTAACACAGCATGCAATCTGATCCCTGAAAATAAAAATGCCTGGGGGATATGCAACATGTTATATTTAATATTATTTATTATTTTTTGTGTGGTTTTACACTTCTATAATTATGTTTTGGCAGCTAATTTTAAAAACAGCTTTGTTAGCAAATAGTAAAGTGCTTCTCACTTAACGGTAGACCATTCAAAAAATCTAAACCAGTGGTTCTGAAGATAAAGAATGGTTTGACATTACACAAGCAGGAAATTGAGCCTCATAAATTTGTGTATAATCCATTACTAATATTTTACTGTAAAACGGTGGTTTTGTAAACCCATTTATCAAGGCCCACCTGTCCTCCTAGTTCCTGCACACCTGATCCAATTAAACTCTGATGAAAATGTGTCATCTTTAATTATATCAGGTGTGCAGAATCAGAGCAGGGGCAAAAATAGAAAGGACAGGCTGGCCTTGATGATTCAAGAATGAGCTGAGAAACACTGCTTTGAGGCTACCAATCTTCATAACAATAGTTTGTGGTATTTATTAGAATGAAATGATAAACACTTAACACTACTAGGGAAAAACCTACCCCGTGAGACCGTATCACTGTTCAGAAACAGCTCTTGATTCCTTAGATTTCGCAACATGACATTATGTTTGCCATATTTCTAATCCTTATTGAAATGTGATAGCCGAAGAAATGAATGAACCTTAATGATAATTTTCAGCTTTTGATGTTGTCCCCTACAGTCATTTTGTGTTTGAAGTATGCGAACAATCATATATCGACAAAAACAATTTTTGATTTCTGATTCGAACAAAATTTACTTGTTCGAATCAGCCACAACTTATGTGTCAATATCTCATGTTGGTTTTGTCAATAATTACTTGAGGAAACATGGTATACAGAAAAGGTAAATTACAACACTGCTGGAATGAATTAAATGTCGCAAACTCAAACTAATCAATGACTGTACTGGGATGTAGGGGGGACAACTCACCGTACTGCCTGACATCCACACAGATGGAGTCAGGTGAGGTGATGTTGGCGTCAGGAGACTTCATGGCAGCACAGGTATTCCACATGTTGAAGAAGAGGAAAACGGGTATCGCCGTGAAGCCGAATATGGCGAGGAAGGCCAGAGCCAGGATGTAGGTCAGGAACATGAACTGAGGAGAGGTGAAAAGAAAGGAGATTTTTATTTTGTCTTGAGTTGCATATAGGTTAATATTATTCCTTTAAGACCTTCACCCACCACATACACAATACACACCCAGAGTCTGTGTTTGAGCTAATGTTACTGGACATCAGCAGCAATTAGACTAATCAGGCTAGAAAGGACAAACTGTGCCAGAGTTACCCTCAAGGGCTCAAGTGTGTGTGTATGTGTACACAAGTCATTGCACGTCTTTCTTATGAGTCTGTGTGTGTCCATAAATGTGAGGTAGAGGTGTGTGAATGTGCCTCTGCAGCATTTTCATGATGTCCCTTGTTCTGGCTTCTAAAGCATTATGAATGACTGTTTAGTGTTAATTTTTTTCTAAGCCTGTAAACACTATTTTAAGCAACAACATTATAAAATACACATCAAAGTAATTAAAATCTCATTTTTAATTTGGCGTGTAACTGGGTCAGTGGGTGTGATGATTTGCCGCAGCTGCATGTAGTTGTGTGTGTGTGTGTGTGTGTGTGTGTGTTTGTGTTTGTGTGCGTGTGTTGACATACGAAGGCAGTAATGCAGCGACCACAGGCGGTGGTCTTAAAATCGCTCTGCAGCTCCTTCTTGATGGCGCTGGTGGTGTAAAAGCCCTCAGCCAGCAGGATGATGGCGTAGACGAAGAAGAAAGAGGCGATGCCGTAGATGATGTACTGAAAGATCTGAATCCTGAACACGCACAGAAAATAAAGGACAATGTTAAAAATCAAACCAATTATACAGGGCTTTTAAAGCTGAATGTGGCAAAGTTGCATTTTCAATCTAAATTCAATACACTCAGTGTTTTGTGTTTGTTCTGGTATGAGCAGTAACTGTACAAGGTGCCTAATGTCAGCGACGTATGACCGGTAGCTTATTTTGGCTAATGTTGGCTAACTTTAAAGAGATATGACTGGTAGCTTATAGTAGCTGTTAGATAACTTTAGTCAAAATAATGCAAACATCTTATGGTAAATGGTGGTTAACGTTAGAGAAATATGAACAGTAGCTTATGTTAGCTAACATTAGCTAACTTAACAGAAAGATTTATAAGATAAAAAGATAATTTATGATTTGTTGAACAGCAGACACTTATGGTCCGTGTCTGCTGTTCAACAAAAGTTACTTAGCGTTTCTTTAACATAACAATCTCACATTGTGAAGCTTTAAATTATTTAATTGAATAGATCCTTCATCCAGTATGGTTTACAGTAGCTCAAACAGTGTCTCGTTGGGAATCTTCCCTGTGACTGCAGCATCCATTTTGAAATAAATGGTCCAAAAAATATCCTTTTGACAGATGACATGTTGTAAACGCCTCCTTACATTATTTTATTTTTTCAGAATATCTGTACTATTTCTGTAAATGCGCACTTGAGAGACATTTACTAGTTTAAGGCGATTCTGAATCATCATAGAAGATAATGTGGGTGGCTCTTCTCCACAGATTTAATAACTGCAGGGGTAGTAGGCCTACCAAAGCTTTCTACTGAAACCATTAATAGTCTCATCAGTGACTCATCTTTTAAACGTTTATTGAGACATCATCCTCCTTTCAGTCTTTTCGAAAACTTACTGTAAAGCATGTAAGCTGTTATGTGTTTTAGTGCTTTAGTGCTCTATTTCATTGATAAGGAAAGATTGTGCAGTGTCATATGTTGTCAACTGGCCCACAATGAACTTACACCATGGCCAGGTTGGCATGGTCGCTTGTGTCCCTTGAGAAGTGGTTCTCCACCATGGTCAGGGTCCCGGTCAGGGCCACGTGGCCGCAGCCGCAGAACAGGGCCACGCCTGAGAAGCAGAGGATGGTGGCCACCAGGGAGGCGTAGGGCACCCCGCCCAGACACTTGATGCAGCACTCGAAGCATCCTGCAAAGGGAGGCAGAGAGAGAAAGCTTAGCTGTAGGAAACTAGAAAAAAATGCTTTAAGGAAGATATGAGAAAGTCAAATTTAAAAGTGCAAACCAAATGTATGATGTAAACCAAGCAGGAGCAGAAACAGAGCAGACTGCTGCAACGTGACACCTCATAAAGTGGCTTGATCGGCTCTGGTGATGACACTCACTGCAACTCATAATGGCCTTCTGTCCACTGCTGTTTAACTATTGCTCATGTCTAGAAACCTGTGTAAATGTTAGTACTGTTTGGGCTGAATCAAGCATGTGTGACCTGTGTTAGCGTCACCCTTGTCTCACTTGGGTCTACAAGAGAAGACAACACTTCTCTGTGTCAGGCATGTCGAGTGGCTAATCATAGCATCTTCTACAGTTAGTGTGCATTCAGTTTGAGCTCAGCTAGGAGTGCTAAATATTATATGTAAGCTGTGCTACATGCTCACATCACACTGCTCCAAAAAACTACTCTACTCTCCCTATTGTCCCAAAAGAAACATTTCAAAACCTTTTTTTCTGAGATTGCATGAATAACTTATAACATAAACAAATAACTAGCTATTGCTAGGACATTTAAGTGGCACCGTGTTTAGATCTGTAGCCTACCTCTAAAATACTTAAGACGCCTTTACTGTTAGGTGGTGTTACTCTTGCAGATGAAAGTAAATATAAGACATGACATAAGATGTTTTGCCTAATTTATTCTTAGTTTTAGTGAAATAACAAATCCAATGCAAATGTCAGATAAGATGAGAAACTGAAAGAGGCTAAAACTGGCCTGCACACCTTGCACATAGTTTCATGTTTCTCATTTTTCACAACTCCAGAATGATGATGACTGATGGAAATTTATCCTTTGTGCCTGAGCAGTTTCTACAGAATGATGATTATGATAAATTTGTACATTTGTTTTCCATTAACTGTGGCAGCGCGTGAAGCTTCCCAAGTGAGTTTTGAGCTATATGTGATACAGGTACAGGAAACTGCACATAGTCAAGAGTATGAAGAGGAATGGGAAGGAGGGAAGATAACACATTGTATTGAGCACAAGAGTCGCATCTTATATAACACCTGTTTAAAAATAGCTCCTCCAGCAAAGCAGGAAGTTACTTTGGAAAAAAAAGAAGACAAAACTGTCTTGTGTGTGCTACTTTGCTGTTTCCATAACAACCCGCTCCAAGTGCCAACTCTGAAGCATTTTTATTAAATCTTCAGAGCTTTTCTGAAACTGAACATCTCTATTTGTAAAGCCTTGAATACATTGTTGACCGTGTTCAGGCCAGGTAGTGTATGCTTGTGGACAGCTGTTATTGATGAGTTTAAAAGAGCAGATTGATTTCAACCCTACTGAGGGGAAGGAGAATCATCAATATCATCACTGCTGGGGAAAGTCGGTTAGCTCACCACGTTGGTACAGAATTAAATTTCTCAACAATTTAATGGATTGCCATGAACATTTTTAGAGACATTCATGGATATCAGGCGATGAATTCAACCGACTTTGGTGACTTTTTCTAGTTTTTTTTCCTGTAGCGTCACCATGAGGTTGACTTTAGTGGTATTTAATGAAATGTCAACTATTGGATGGTTTGCCATGATGTTTGGTACACACATTAATGTTCTCCTCAGATTCCATTGTAATAGGTGCGTTTGACTTCATGTGGGAATGTGATGTATGCTGGACTCAACATAAGGCATTCCAGTTAAAATTATTGTCTGACTTTCGCCAGCGCTGCAAAACGTCACAATGTCACATGACATAAAAACCTTGCGCAAACAAGGCGGCTGCAGTTTTCTAAGTCTGGCGTCCCCAGTTGCTTTTCTCAGTCATTGTTTTGAGCTCACAGTAAGCTCACCCACTCTGCTGGAAGTAAAATGTGTCAGACTCGACGGCAGTGTTTTTATACCTTTTATCAGACTTAATACAGAACTCTTTTATCCGATAAGAACTGTTTTGTTCTGTTTACTTGTAGTGCCCTCCTTTTGTTGTTAAGGCCAGTTTTTTAGGTTTCTGACCGCACTGCGAGGTCATGTGCCGACACATATAGAAAACACCTCTTCTCCGTGTCTGAATGAATGAAAACCCAAGCCATACATCTAAGATGACACTGCTCCCCTCCAAAGTGTGCTGCTACTGCTGAAGACGGTGTTGCGTAATCGAGCGGAGGCTCGTTGCATAATAGATCCAAATCCTATTAATGTTAATGAAGGAAGCGGGCTGATGGAGAGGTGGAGCTGATAAGGCTAGATGGCTCTAAAATCCTGAGCCGAGAAACAGGCCAGGCCTCGAGGGGGGCAGCAATGGTCGATACAATGATGACTGGGAGGCTGTTTAAAAGCTGCTCTGCTCTGACACTCCATCCTGCTATAAAAGGTCAATCTCAACAGGTAATTTAGACTGTTAGTCTTCCTGTCCTCTTTTTTTAATTTAGAGAAGATAATAAAACCTGCCACTGAGAAGTAATAATCCTGCTTTTTCAAATGCAAATCAAGAATTTCCAGGTGACGTTATCTTGACATTCATGGACTTGGACTATAACTCCTTTCATATTGGGGAAAGGAGCCTCTTAGCTTAGCTAATTTGTTTTAAGAAAAAAATGAACTTGAATTTCAGATACATTCCAACAGTGAATGAATGGTTTATATTATTTCCGCTGTTAACTCTTCTCCCTGGCCCCATGCAGCTTCATGGATGAAATAACAGGTTTCTTTTAAATATTGAACACTCCCCTCATCTGCTTCGCCTGTGGCTATGACTTTTTATCAGCCTCCGTTTTAAAGTGTGCTAATGGGCAACAGACAGACCGAAGTGGTCAGCTCCAGCAAGCCCTAATGGAAATCAATGGACTATTCATTAGAGTAGAATTTAGGTGACACACCGAGGCCGGCCCATCTCTCTCGTTTCACAGCTCGCTGCATCTTGCTACCTCTGCCTTCTTCTCTGCTTGAAATATGATTGCATGCCCACTCTGTACTTACAATAAGCCAGCTGGAGTTTAGACAATATGTTATGCTCCTGTTACGATGCTGTATCATATATTATCTCAACAAACTCAGACCAAGGACGATGTATCAGGTTGTGGGAGCGTTTTTCAGGCGGTCTGTGAAGGCACATGAACACCAGCTAGTCAATATGAAAGAACAAAAGATTTGGGGATTTCTGTTAATTCTGTCAAGCGACAGAACAGCAAATAATTTGACAGACAAGAGCTGCAATTAAGGATTAACATCCCCTGCTGTGAAAGCTTGTTCTCCTTCCAAAAACACTATTGCGGCCTGTAGTACAAAACTAGAAAATGTTCCCCAGCTTAAATTAGGATTTCAATTTGCGGCTGAGAGTGACAGTTTTCATAATGATAATAGATGCCTGCTCTTTTTGTTTTTTTTTCCACAGCCAAAGACAAAATGGAGGGATGAGAGGAGGAGATGAAGTAAAACTGAGAAGGAACGAGCGAGGAGTGCAAGATAGAAAAAGGAAAGCAGAGGTGAATGGAGAGACCGAGCAAGGGATCAATAGAAAGCGTGCAGAGGGACAAAGGTAAGAAAGAAAGAAAGCGAAAAGCAGTTCTTGGCCCCAGGGCCGGCAAATAGCAGTTGCCATAGCAACATGTTACCCACGACCCAGTTCAGCAGTAGTGTAGTCATTCGCAGCCGCTTCACACATAAACACACATCGAAGTATAGAGTGATGTAACCTCAATAAAAACCTAAAGATTGGTGCTAATTGGTGACAAAGGTCTGGAATTTGAAATAACAAACACAGTGATAAGAAAAATGGAAGGAAGAAGATGTTAGTATCTCTATCCATATTCCGCTGGTTAGGTTTTGGGAAGTGGGTCAAACAGATATTGTGTTGTTTGACATGAAAATAGAGATAAATGAGGGCGAGAGAAGAAAATTGTCTTATATTTTTGGACTTCAAGGAATTCATGACACAACGGAAAGTGATGCAGACCATTGAGGCACAAAAACAACATCATCCAGCTGGATTTCTGTGCTGTCATTTGTAAAACTTGAAGGAAAGTAAAGATTTGCTACCTCCCGGGTCCCCAGCATCTCCCGATTAAGCCCTAGGATCATAAACACAGATAATTCCATTGTCAGTGTATCTATACAGCGCCATACTGTTTTTGCTGTGGTAGATATAGCTAGCCCTAGTTTCACTGAGGTGAATATCTGGCTCTTTAGGGGTTTATCTGAACTCTTGTGCTGGGAACACAATGCTGATGAGAGTGACAACAAGAACAGTTGTAGTTTAACAGGCTGTTAAACCAAAACTATTGAGCTGAAAGACATAAAAAAAGCTCAGTAAAGCTGAGTGGAACTGCAGAGTCTGGTGATAGTTCATCATAAGAGTGACCTCTTAGACTACGTTCAGACTGCCAAAGTGTCCAGCGCCAGAAACTGTAATTAAAAGAACATAAAGTTGTGAACACTTGTCATAATTCATGAAAATGTGACCCATGAGAGAACAATAAAAAATGGGAGTCTCCCGTGAGCTAACTGGAGCTAACCTCTGTTGCTCCTTGTTTACTTCTGTAGCGTAAGACAGCGTGCTGTGTGATGTCGTGTTATTCTTCTGCGCATGCGGGTCACTTTCAGGCTGTGGACAGTTCACACTGGAGTCTGATATGGGCCACATTTAAACAACAATGTGAAAAAAAAGAAGCAGATCTGAGAAAAAAAATGGGAATTGAGCATTAAGGTCTGCAGTCTGAATGTAGCCGTATTTATTTCATCCACTGTTAATATACAAATATTGATTATAGCAGCTTTAAGTTCAGGTTACAGAGACACACATGCTTTTTCAGTTTAAATCTTTCTACTCTACTTGATACATTTCCAAAGTGATTATGCAGTCACAGTGACATTATGTAACATTACACAACAGCAGGCAGTTAATGATTTATCAGAAGCTGTACAGCACAAAGTATGAAGAAAAATAAAGTCTTTGTGCAATATAACTTGTCCAGGGTC